GGGTTGTATTTCCTTGTTTTAGTTAGGATACAAGCAGCCGCATTCTGAACCATCTGCAGGCCTTTAAAACTTCTCTTTGGAAGTCCAGAGAGAAGAGCATCGCAGCAGTCGATATGTGACGACACAAAAGCGAAAAACTTTTAAGAATTATTAGTTAGTTAATTAATTTAGAGTTGCAAGCCCAACATGCATGTTTTTGATCTGTGGTCGGAAACCAGTGCATGCAGGGAAAACATGCAAACTCCACTCGGAAAGGTCCAAACACCAAGACGCAATCCAACAGCCCACTTGCTTAGAGGCAACAGCTCTACAACTGTGCCACCAACTTGCACTTTATTGCTTCTCACAACCCATCATCATCATCCATGGAAAGGCGTGAGTGGTAGGTGTTGTGTTGAGAAAAAGCACATAATGGAGAAGCACCATTAGGAAATAACTTAACATGCAGCGGTGTATGTCGATATTTCATTATAAATTGTGAAAAATACTTGGATTGTTAATATCACGTTTACATAATAAATTCCACAACATTATATGTTTAGCAGTGAATTTTGTTAAGTTGAATTTGTTATATTTTCTTTTCTTGTAGTTTTCTTGTGTCTTTTTGAGATATGTGCACACACGCACCTGCAATCGTAGCTAAACAGTGTGGGCCAGTTTTCCTGTAAGGGTTTATAGAGCTACATTTAGGTCTGCAAGTTATGTTTTGCTTTTGGGTTTGATTCACTTGTTTTGTTACGGTCTACTTCCTTACCCAAACACCCAGGTGGTTTTTCTACAGTTGCAACTTTAAAAGTCAAATATATATTTAAATACACAATACTACTCAAGTTAGGCAAATGTGTAGCTGTACATCTGTCAAGCGAATATGTTTACGTTTAGTAGAAGGAAATTCAGCTTACGGAGTGTCGTTTCAGCCGGAGTAGTAAAAAAAAATAAATAAATAAACTCACTGAGGAAAATTAATTCACAAGCAAAGTTAGCAAATGCAAGTGTTGCATTTGCTAGACATCAGCTTATTAGAAATTAACCCCAAATCGACAAATTATTTTAAATTATTTTAAAAAAAGCATTATTTTAAATTGTTTTAATAAGTTAGCCATAATGTTTTTACAGTGTTGAACCCCTTACTTACAAAAAATGTATATAAACTTTATTTTTATACACAATGTTACTGACACGTGGTCGACCTAATTAGTCAGAAGTTCCACTCGTTTTTTTCAACTGACAGTTTGCTGCCTTTAGATTTATAATCAGACCACACACACAATGTAAAATAAAGCAAAGCATTAGGGTGGCAGAGAAGTGCTAAAGAAAGGATGATAACTAAAGAAAGGAATGAACAACAAATTTTTAAATAAGCAAAAATTGTACAAGGAGTTCAACATACAGTTCCTCATCTCTGCTGTGTTGGATCTCTTACTGCACCAGACAAGATCATGTGTTTTTGACCCAAATCTTTTAGTAAAGTCAAATCTGCACCAAAGCAGAAATGCTAACTCGACTAGCTAAGTTTTGTGTCCTTTAAGGCTGGCTTTTCAACATACATATACTGTATTTTGCAGTGATGAATATCACACCTACACACACAAAGCCCCAACTCATTTAAATGACCTTTTTGAGTTAATGCACGTGTAAAATGAGACACTGCTAACCAAATATATTCAGTACTATTTCAGGTACACATTTTCATCCAACTATAGTCTATTGGTCCTTTACACATTTTTTATATACAATCATATTTCTAAATTAGTATTATTGGTATTTTACATTGTGATAACAAAACGCCCTCCATGTGCAATGGTTCCAGCTATCATAATGAGTGCAGAATACATAGGGCAGATATGAGCACTGTTTAGACCAGGGGCATGAGTATTTGTGGTTTTATAACGTGTGAAACTCTACATCTTATCTAAATCTTAATATAATTCAAAGATAAAGTAAGCACCATTTGAC